ATGCCCGAAACCCGCTTGGTGATCTTCAGCGCCGTGCCCAAGTGCGGCTCTGCTACCACGGCCAAGCTCTTCAAAACGTGGGTATCATGTGCGTTATTAGGGTTCTTACAGACACAGACAAACATACATGCACGTATGCAGACACACACACATAAGTTCCTATCAATTCTAAAAAAATCCAAGTATGCTGTCAGTGGATCAAAATATAATAAATGAAAAAGTAAGAAGAAAAAGAAAAGAAACAAAGTAAAAATAAACAAAATAAATAAGAAATTGATTCAGAATTTTGCAGAAAACGGCGTGAGTTGCCAGTTTCCAATTTTCTGAATTTCCTGTAACGCGAGTCCAAAGATAATCTTATCAGTTATGCATGGTAATAATTTTTGTCACAAATGTTCACTGCATTTATATCCTTCTCCGTCTGCACTTTGTGTTCAAAGTCAATAGTTGCACTTTAATAAATGTTAATAGCATTTTCACCACTTTTTTACTCTCAGCTTTATTCTTTCTAGTGTAGCATTAAGTTCAATGAGCCGTTTCAGCAGAATTGTACCCTAAAATGATAATAATAATGATATAATAATAAAAATAGTTATTAAGTTGCAATCATAAACTTTTGATATCGTTTTTCAAAACTTTTTTCTCTTTATTTTTTCTCCTGAAACGAGTTCAATGAATCGATAATAGAATAAGAAAAACATTGTTTTCTTATTGCACATCATAAGCTTTTAATAGAGTTTATTCATCGCATATACATCCTCAGCTTTATTCTTCCTTATGCAATTTGAGATAAAAAATTGTTTCATAACAATGGTACGCGAAGATCATTAACTTTCAATATAACTTTCACAACCATAGTCCTTTCAGCTTCGTTCTTTCTTCTAGAGCTTAGATTCTTAAAACAACCCTAAGAAAACCTATCATTAGCCTTTAATATCTTCACAACTTTAATCCTCAAAGATTCATTCTTCCTCCTGCAGCTTAAATTCCTAAAATCATTTCATGATAAAGGTACCCTAAGAAAACCTATAATTATCTTTTAATGTCGTCTACACAACTTTAATCCTCTGAGCTTCATTCTTCCTCCTGCAGCTTGAGTTCCACGAATCGTTTCACGGCAACGGAACCCTAAAAAAACTAAAATTATCTTTTAATATCGTCTTTACGAGCTTCAGCTTGAGTGAATAAAAACTAAAATTATCTTTTAATATCGTCTTTACAATTTCAATCCTCTGAGCTTCATTCTTCCTCCTGCAGCTTGAGTTCCATGAATCGTTTCACGGCGATGGTGCCCCAGATACGTATCCAACCGCGACTGGCAGAACAGCAGCGCGAGGTCCTGCTGAAGAACCTTATGACTCATGCCCTGAAGGTACCCGTGGCCTACGTCAGACACCTCTTCTACATGGATAATATTAAGTAAGTGGCTTGTGTGTGGGTTTGTTTTAGGTCGTGCTGTCTCTGTCTTTCTGTCTGCTTATCCCTCTCCTTTCTCTGTTTCCCCTCTCCTCTCTCTCTCTGTTTATCCCTCTCCTTTCTCTGTTTATCCCTCTCCTTTCTCTCTGTTTATCCCTCTCCTTTCTCTGTTTATCCTCTCCTCTCTCCTTCTCTGTTTATCCTTCTTCTTTCTTTCTGTTTCTATCTCTTCCCCTTTCTCTGTCTTGGCTTCTAAAGATTAATTTCAGTATTTATCTTCCGCATATAAATTATACAATATGCTAAAGAAATCCTCAACCCTAACACGTGATTTACTCGAGACCTGACGTACTGTAACTAATATTTTATTTGTCGTGGGGTCGGCATATTTAATGACCATGACTGATGACACTGGCGCGTTAGTTAGCGATGACTCTTGATAAATTGGCGGCTTAATGGACCAATGCGGATGACAGATTTGGGGCGTTATTATCTTATTTTTCTTTTTCATGTCTCAGATTTTCCTTTGATAATTTCCCATTTTCTTTATCATATTCCGCCCTCTTTCTGTTTTTCGTTTTTTTTTTGCAAACCTGTTTCTCATTTTTTTGTCTCTCTCCTTTCCAAAATTTCTCTCCTGTTCTCTTTTCCTATTCATTGGCTTTTATGACCCTCCCCCCCCCCACACCACTTTTTGTGTATTTTAATTGTTCACCTTCTTACGTTTTTGGTTGTTTGTTTCCCCCTTTTTCTCTTTTACTTTCTTTTCATTTTTTCTCTCCTCTTTTCTTCTCCCATGCACCTCAATTCCTTGCCTTCTTACCTGTTCTTTTTCATTTCTTCTCTTCTTTCTTTCATTCTATTCCTCCATCCTCTTGCGTTTTCACATTTTCTTTCTTTTTTTCTATCTTTCCCTTCTCATGAAACTCCTTTTTACATATAATTTTCACATATTTACTTCTGTCCCAATTCGTCCTTTTCTCAGAGTCATTCCTTGCATTTCAAATATTATCAGCATTTCTCCTCTTCCCTCTTACTCTCACTATCTCCCTTACTCATATCTTCATTTTTCCCTCTTCTGTCT